GAAGGCGCGGCGGGCGGGTAGGGGAGCAGGAAGGAGGTACGGGGCGCCCCCGGGAGGAGGCATTGGAGGGGCAGGTGCAGCACCTGTGAGGTGTAACACCTGGCTGGGGAGGCGGGCTCAGGAGAGGTGGAGCAAGGGCCGCCCAAGTTTCAGCTGTGACCCTGCCACGGACACCGCTTCGCCCCCTCCCTTTGGTACATGCGTGACACCATTGCCAGGCACTTCGAGGACCATGGACTCAGCTGGCCCTGCTTAGTGGGTTCAGTGGCTTCAACAAGAGGTCACAGGCTGCGGTCCAACGTGGAGGTGGTGGCACTCTGCATGCCCTACGTGGGAGAGTGGGCGGGAGACGTCCTTACAGCGACTCTGGCACTGACCCCACGGGGTGGGGGGGCGGGGGGCTTCGTCACCTCCCACAGGCCCCCCTGGTGCCCTGGCCCTGGGGGGAAGTTGTCCATGCATGGGTCTGGGGAGCGGAAGCATCCAGGGTTGCAGACCCCGCCCTCCTGCCAGCCTACACAGCCAGCAGTGAGCTGCTCAGAGGCCGAGTGGGCTGGCGATCTGGTGGCCAGGGACATTCTCACTGTCAACAGCTGGGCAGGGCTCAGGTCAAAGAGGGAGAGCTCGCTGCTGCTGGTGATGACAGCAAAGGATTCGAGAGCCTGCCGCCCTTGCCGGCCCAGCTATCCTGCACGGTGCCAGCCAGGTCCTGGTCCACCACGGGGTTTTACAACTGCCCTGGGGTCACGGGAGGCTAGTCATGTGCCCCAGCGGGGCTCTGTGGCCTGGAAGGGCACATCTTGGGGATGGGTGACAAGGGCTGTCATAGCCCTAGCCTAACCTGGCCAGCCTGACCCAGGGTCTGTCCGAGTTCTCCCACCAGCCCCGGCGTCATTCTGGTGTCGTGAGTCTCGCCCGATATCCAGAGCTGCGGGGCTGGAGCATCTCATACCTGCCAGGAGGTGACAGAGACGCCTCGGCCTGGGGTGTTCTCATCTGCAGCGCTCAGAGGATGCCCTCCCGTGACCTCTGCCCCGTGCCGTTTTCAACCGGGAGTGTGGGGTAGCATGTGTCTGATGCGCTCCAGAGAGTCAGGGGTGGACATCGTTTTGTTCTCTGCTTTTTTGCAGCGTGAACAGAGCAGCCGGAGGAAGCCCTGACAGCATTTCCCGAGCGGGTCTGCCAGCCCCGCCTGCCGGGAACCTGCCCAGGAGCGGCCCCTCCTGCAAACAGGTGCGTGTCCCACCCCAGAGGTTCTTCATCTTTGGCTTCTCGGAGGTGCAGGGGAATGGGTGGGCTGTGTCTGCAGAAAACAGGGTCCAAACCACTTGGTTCCCAGTGTTTTCCACCTGCCCTCACCCAGTACAAATCAGCCAGTGTATAATAGATAATTAATGGGCTGATCAGCCAGTAAGGGAGGTAAGTAGATAAATAATTTTAATTATCCTTGGGTGGCCCATAAATTCCCTTGCCGCCTTTTTACTAAACCCCCTGTTTACAGGAGCCATCTAGATTGCAGGTGGTTGTATGAAGCCCTCCGTGGCCTCCCAGGTGGCTCCCACCAGGCCTGACCTCGGTGAGATAGAGCTGTGTGGCCCCGACAGCCTCTATAGCAGGGCCCCTCCTGGGCATGCGCGGCAAACCCTGTGCCCAGGTGAAGGCAGGCCACTCCTGGAGGGTCCGCGGCGTGTTAGGGCCCACCTGGAAACCTTCATTGCACTTGGCACCTGCACCATGGGTGAGTCACGCCTCTCCCCAGGGATGGCCTTGGCCCGTTAATAGCCTTGGCTGAGGTTCCCCGCTGCTCCGAATGCCAAGAGAGAAAGTGGGTTAATAACCATAAAGGGAAACCCTCCGAGGGCCTGGGGCCAAACTTCCTCCCAGTCTGCCTAAGAGGTGTGGCTGTTGGGTCTCCAGATGGGGTGAGGGATCCCCTTCATCCTCAGCCTCTCGTCCTGCTCGGAGGGGCCCAGGGCCCAGGTCGGCAGGTCTGAGGACCAGGCATGGCAAAGCTCCTCTGAGTTTCCCCGGTGCTGGGACAAGGAGGTGGGCGCCAGCGTGGACATGCTCAGCCTCCTCGCCCCTGCTTCCTGCGGGCTCCCTGGCTCATCTGTGCAGCTCACGTCCTGGTGGGCACGGAGGGGGAGGGGCAGCCCTCAGCAGGGTCCCCCTCTTCACTTTCCCCCCCTGGGGTCTGCAGCAGGCATGGTTTAACCTGAGCTGGACACCCCTCAGCAGAACGGGGTCTGGGGACAGAGCAGGGGGCAGGTGTGCCTGGGCTGCTCGCGGCAGGCTCAGAGTGCTGCTCACCTGCCGCCAGGTCAGAGCGTCACTGCACACAGGCAGCAGCAGGCTCTGTGTACAGGCAGGAGTGCAGGGACTGCCCTGAGCACACCGCTGCCTCCGAGGAGGGGAAACACGCACGATCCCGTCAGAAATGGCGGCGTGCGGACTTCCAGACTCCGTGCACGCGGGGTGCAGCACGGGCTGTGAAGGCGGGCTCATGTAGTCTGTATGTGACAGAGCACCTGGCAGTGTCCCTGTCCCTGTCCCAGTTATTCTCACGTCAGGCCATGCTGGACACACCCAGCAGGGGTCAGGGATCACGGCCACCAAGCCCAGCCGGCAGAGCTGACGTGCAGCACACTGCCCGCAGGCCCTGAGCAGCACGTCCTCCGCGGAGCACGGGTCCTGTCAGTCAGAGTCCCTCGTTCTTCCGGGCTCACTCCTGGAATAAAGTCAGATCGTGGATGTAGCTTTCACAAACGGTGCCCTGCTGAGCTCTAGCGGGGCAGCCAGGCGGCGGTTGGGCCGGAGAGGGGCTGCCGCAGTGGCCCTGGGCATAGCTGTGTGCTGTCCACGCGCCATCTCCCCTCCTTGGAGCCGGCCGTGTGCTCGGGCAGGAAGGAATTCGGGCTAAGCAAGTGCAAAGGCCTTTTCAAGTCCCAAGTGGGAAGAAAGTCTGGAAAATGGCCCAGCAGAGGCTCCTGGCCTCTGAGGGGTTTGTTTGGCTCAGAGCAGGGCTGCCCTGTGGGTCCCTCTCTGGACACGAAGCCTGAGGCGGAGGAAGACGGAGAGCCAGGAAGAGGCAGGCGGGGTGGACACCGTTTCTCCCAAGGCTCTCTCCTGTACTCAGTCAGGGGCTGCCAGAGGGTGGCTCCGAGAGTCCAGAGCATGCAGGAGCGGGGTCGGTGCCACTCACTGGAAACGGGGAAGGGGCCTCTTCCTCCAACCCGCGAACAGGACCTGTGGCACTGAGGGCTTCCTGCGTTTCTGTTTTAGGGAGTTGGGGTGGAAAGAAAAGGAACAAAAACAATGACAGAGCCAGAGATAGGCTTCCCGGCCCCGCCCTTGGACAGAGCCAGAGATAAATCCCTCTGTCCCTTCACAGGGACAGGGATGGCACGGCTTGGCCAAGGTGTTCCGCTCTGAGCCCTCTGTTCCGCCTGCCCTGGCGTCAGTGGCGAGACCCTCCACCGCCTCCTGTTTTGTCTGCCTGGTCTTCAGGAACTGAGCCACCCAGGCCAGCCACAGGGAAGGGTGCTGATTGATTAAAAACAGCCAGGGCGGGCTTCTTGCCAACACCCCCTGCTGCACCAGCATCGGCAGAGCCGAGGCCACGGGGCGGAGCGCGCC